ATTTTCTGAATAAGAGTTTATGTGGCCTATCAGTTGTCGCCCAACAGTCAACCCAGGTCCCACCCAGTGCCATTAAGTTTGACTTACTGATTCCCCATAGTGTTTCAAGGCTGTAAATTTTGAGGTGTAGAGAGCTCCCCTATTCCTCTCTGCTGACGTTACGGTTAGCAGTGCAACATGCTATGTACTACATCGCCAGTGATCGTTAACACAGGACTAGAAATGCCATATACAAAGAGATTATCTATTGTCCAAAAATTCCTTATCAAGGCAATAAGACAGCAAAATACAGACTCAGAACCACTGTAAGACCATCTGATGGGGTCCTTGTGATTTTCTTTTGGACCAGAGTGTTCAAGCAGACAAGGGCAATTAGATTTATATTAAAGAGCCTTATAGTTATACCTGGACACCCTTTATAACTCAAAACAGATGGAAATTCACTGATCTTTTAGTGATAGCTTTCACAAAGTATATAGATGTATTTATAAACATCAGACTAACATCCACTCCCTATAATCCATAGCTTCCAACGGGGTCCCTGGTACAACATTGGGGATCCATTCCTCCATAACAAGAAGTCCACTAGGATTTACTCCTCTTAATATCTTCCCTTTATTCTTCCTCTTACTTTGTCACCGTCATCTTGAGTCAGATGTCTGTTTCTTCACTCCCCGGTTTTCCTTATGGGGTCTAGGAACACAGCAGATGTGTACAACATGCTAACTGGAGTGAGGCTGGATACTACCCTCTACTGGGGAGCAATTTCAGTTAACTCTGACTCCTTAAGAAACTCTCCAGAATCTTCAGAACTGTGGCTCTTTTACATCCTTCTTGGTCTGCAGATTCTTCTGAATCCCCCAGATTGAGTAGTTAGGAGAAGAATTGAAGGATGGATGAGAACTAGAAAAGATAACTTACTGAAATAATTGGATATTTGAAATTTGTATTCATAAATGATATTTGTCTGTAATTTTCTTATCTGAGGTTGTGTGTTTGCTTTTTTTAATTCTCAAATTTTGGTAGTATTGCTAGACTGCCTTCAGTCAATGAATTACTTAGTCCTTGTTTTGAATTCTGAAGTGTTCTGTATACAATTGCTATAACGTCTCTTTTACAATATTTCTTAGAAGTCAAACTTCCAAGTTTGACTTAGAAGCCAAACTTGACTTAGAAGCTTGGTCAAAGCCAACTCTCACACACTCCTCATCTATTCCCACTTCCAGAAGCTGTATTCGGCTGCTGTGGTTATCACTTTTTTTCTTTCCAGAAAGGAGAGTAAAGTGATCTTGTTAGCATTGATAAACTAAGATAAATTTATACTTTAATTTTTAAAGATATAATTAATAAAATAATTAAAAATAGAAACGTTAGAAAGTTGTTTATCCTAGAGAATAGGATTGAGAAAGATATCATCTCTTAATTGATATACTTCCAAATCATTTGGAAATAATTATAGACATTCATGCACTACTATGAAAGAAATGGAAGGCCTTGAATAACAAGAACGGTGTGCTTTATACCTTAGTTATAAAAGCCTTCTAGAGCAGACTTAAACTGCTGAACCCTGCCAGCAGGTTCAGAGCCAGCAGCAAAATGTTCCACTAACCGGGAAGGAGCCCAGATAAGGTGGGAGGACAGCAGTGAGGCTGTAGAACTTACATGGAACTTTGACCAAATGCTGAGAAATGTCTCACGATAGCTTGTGACTTAATGCATCTTGGCTCTAATTAGCTGCTAGATCTCCGTACAGGAAATAACAAGGCTTCCCAGGAACTTGATAAGCTACATTCAGTCACCAAATTTCACTCCAGTTTCCGTAGGCATCTCTTCAGGAGACAGAGAAATGTCCTCTGGTGACTATCAATTATAGGAAGGCAATTAGCTTCTATCGACTGGTCAGTTCTCCATTCCAGGTAAGATTTATTTCTAAATCACTGTAACATTTGTTTTCTTTCTTCAGCATCTGGGTTGTTCCACAGTTGTTGCTGTGTACTATTGAGTCAGAACAGACTCATAGCTAATCCTTTATTGGGTTTTCAGAAACAGTAAATTGCATGAGAGGAATTGCCCATCATTTTTCTTCAGAGCAACTGATGGATTTACATTGAGTTTATTTGGGGTTGGCAGTGCAACTCCTTACATTCTCAAAGCGATAGAGATTCCCTTAGAAGAAGGCAGGGAACATGAAACTCCCTCTTGGCAACTTTGTGAAGCAACATTTGACAGTGTGAATGGGGAAACCAGGACTGTTACCTATTTGAACTTTCGTCCAATTGATCATCTCACATACCTTGGGCATGTTGTTAGAAGTTATTCCTTGGAGAGGGACATCATGCTTGGGAGGGTGGAGGGACGGGGAAAGAGAGATCCCCAACCAAGTAGATTGACAGGGCGACTGTAGCAATGGGCTTGAGTGTGTCAGAGATTGTGAGGACAGTGTTCAGACTGATTGTTCATAAGATCACTATGAGCCATACTCAACTCGATGGTTGAGTATATATGCCACCCTCAAGTCTAAATATTCACATCGATCACCATGGTGAGAAACAATAATTAATACACAGAGCCTCCCAAAGGTGATGTACTGTTAATTACCCTGGTTTCACTGCTTAACTTGTGCTTCAAACATTTTCCCCATCATGAATTTGTCTGAGTTTCAGCTAGAAAAGATTCAAACTGGGATAACTGAACAGAGTTTAACAAAAGGACAATTTACAAATATAGGAAATAGTAAGGGAGAGCTGTAAGAGATGGTGAAACCCCCAAACACCATAAATTAGTGAGAACTCTTTCTATCATTAGGCCTAAGGAGCAACGATAAGTTACCAATACTCAGAGAGCATTGCAGCTATAGCTGTGGCTGTAGTAGAGACCCATCAGACAGGAGTTATACCTAGTGTAACATTGCCAGCTACATCCAAGGAGGGAGAAAACCAAGAACAAGGCTGAAAACTCCATCTTGCCCGCCAAATTTGTGTCCTGCCTTTCTTTGATTTAACTGAATCAGTAGTCAGAGGGGAAGGGAGCTCATCCATAAAGCCAAGGGTTATCTCTGCCTGGGGTGGCACACTCAGGGGTAGAGAGGAGGGAAAAGAAATTTTCACGACAAACAGTAACCGTAAAACAGATCACATTTTACAATATCCTTCTCTGTATTTCCTGGGACTCTCCTTCTCAAAATTATTAATAAGTTATTATTATATATACTGAGAGTTGTGCTATGGTTTTTTCCTCTTTGTATTGTTTAAGTTTTTTTTTCTTTATTGTCATTTTGTTTGGACAATGTCTCACTGGCATCATAAGTATTATGAAAATCAAAAGAATACAAAGAAGTATACAAGTATTTTAATTTCATGACTTTGCACACTCTAAGAGGAAACAATTAGTAACTTGAATAAGAAAGAAATTTATGTGATCAAGACTATTCAATCAGGATCCAAGATACCAGAAACCTAGAATCTTCCCAAATTGTTGCACTCTGATTTCTAGAGTGGTACCTTCCTTTCTCTGGTCCACTTCTGATTTGAAGCGTGTATTACTTGCCTACTTTTCCTCTCCTTTCCATATGTAGTTGGCATAGGACACTGGCAGTGAGGTTGCAGGGCTGACTCAGACTTGTGGGTTCACATATAGACTCTACCACATGTTCCCATAATTCCTGGGACAAACCACTTGGCCTCTCAGTGGTTCCATTTAATTATCTATAAATAAAAATAGCAACAGTACTTAGCTCATAAGGTTCTTCAGAGTTGACTTAGGAGGGAAATTCTGATAAGAACTTAATTAGCTATTACCCAAGTATGTATTAGTCCACCCTCTCGAGGTGTAACACACAGAACATCTCCTTTTTACATTGTTCTTACATTCAACCCCCAAGAATATTTTTCATAAAAGCTTTAATCAGTAAAACAAGCTACTCATCTGAAGGAGAGGATGAAAAGATTAGTATTGAACACCTCTTTGCAAATCACTTAATCATCCCCATTAGGTAGCTTCATGCTTCGATCTCCTCGGTTCAGAGCATTGCCATTTCTGTTTCTTCTTTTCTGCCCTTTCCCAAATGTCTCTGAAATGCAAGGAAATTCAATTTAGCCCTATATTTGCTCCATAAACTATGTACTGTGACTCGTTGAATGCAGTAAAATTATATGCTGGCCCTCCCTGGTTTGGAGACATAAGAGTGGTCATCGTGAGGCATATATAATTCTTATAAACACAAGACGAGTTTTCAAGGAAGTAAATGATGAATACAATTTTCTTCATTCCAGTATGTTTGTTTTCTGGGGAATAGTTTTACTTAGATGTTTTTGCTTACATTAACTCCAGTTTTCACCTAACCTCAGGCTCCCAGTCATTCATTAATTTATCCATTTGTTGACAAACTTGTTGAATTCCCACTACATATCCCTTACAGAGCTAGACAGCGATAATGCAGAAACGGGCCAAGGACAAGCTTTTCCTGTTTTCCTCAGCCTACACATGGTGGCATTTCTTGCACAAGAAGCCTGGGCATCATCATACCTGTGATAGAAAGGGATCACTTTTCTCTTAGGTCTTTAAAACTTTCTCTTTGGTGAGTTTTCTCACTGTCAAGGAAGGTGGACCATGGCTCATGCTTGGCTTCTGAATTCATGCTACCAAGTCACTCCTGCTTTTCCCAACTCCAGGAGGGAAGGAAGTTTTGACCCCGTAAGCCTGTCCTCCTCCACAGTCTTTCTTTTATTTAAAGTCTAGGGGTATGACAGGGCTTCAAAAGACAGGTAAGAGATTCTTGTTGCTGTTTAGGATACAGAGTAGTCCCATGTCAGAGGGGCATGTGCTGTTTCACGGAGAAAACAGCTTTAGGAAAAATGAGAACGACCATCAGGTAGTTACTTCGTCTCAGTAAGCCCCCTTTCCTGCTTCTGCAAATGGGACAGTAGTTCCTACTTAGGAGGGACCTTCATAGTCAGTGATCACTCTTGTTTCCGTTCTAGGTCAGCAAAGAGTTTCACAGCATGATGCAAGTCTTCTCAGAGTGGGCAAACCAATCTTCACCGGGCAATGAAAATGTTTCAAGCCTTCCTCCAAAGAATGACGTGAAGGACCTATTTCAGTCTTTGCTGTCCCTGATGGTCGCCCTGAGTGGTGTGATGGGGAACACAGTCGTACTCTGGCTCCTGAGTTTCCGCCTGCAGAGAAACTCCTTCTCCACCTACATCCTTAACCTGGCCGGGGCCGACTTCTTCTTCCTCTGCTCCCTGATCATGTTTTTCCTAATGGAACTCATTGGTTTCTACCACCGGACCTTCAAATCTGTCAGCCCTTTCTTTGGCATTGCCATCTGGTTTTCTTACATCTCAGGCCTGAGCATTCTCAGTGCAATCAGCACCGAGCGCTGCCTGGCGGTTCTGCTTCCCCTCTGGTACCACTGCCACCGCCCGAGACACATGTCAGCTGTCACCTGTGCTCTTCTCTGGACCCTCTCTCTGGTGCTCAGCATTCTGGAATGGACTTCTTGTGTCGTGCTCAACTCTCAGGTTGACTGGTGTCAGATCATTGACTTCTTCCTTGCTGTGTGGTTGATGGCCTTATTTATGACACTGTCAGTGTGTAGCCTGGTTCTGTTGGCAAAGATGCTCTGTGGGTCCCGGAGGCAGAAGCTGACCAGACTCTGTGTGACCATTGTCCTCACAGTGTTGACCGTCCTTATCTGTGGCCTGCCCTTTGGCATTTATTGGTTTCTATTGATCTGGATCCAGTGGCTTCCGAGCTCTGTGCTGGTGCCATCTTCTTCCTGGTCTCTGCTTCTCTCCTGTGTTAACAGCTGCGCCAATCCCATCATTTACTTCTTCGTTGGCTCCTTTAGGCAGAGGGAGCAGAGGCCCACCCTCGGGCTGGTTCTGCAGAAGGCGCTGGAGGACACACCTGAAGTAGAGGAAGCTGGAGGAAATCTAACTCCAGAAACCATGGAGATGTCAGGAGGCAGTGCCGTGTAGTGCACCGTGTCTCTGCTTTGGTCAGACAGATGTAGCTTTAGAGTCAACTTTGTTACTATCAGTTTGAGTGATTTTTTTTCATTTTTGTCAACCTCATGTGACTAATCATAAAATAGGAAGTTAATGTTCATTGTTGTGATGATTAAAGGAGAAAATACCTACTAAACTAACACTGTGAGCAGTAACTCAAGGAATCAATGGTTTCCACCACATTCTCATATGTGTAGTTGGCAGTTCTGATGCCTAGGAGTGTGTGGTGTGTGTGTATAGGGGAGAGAGAGAGAGAGATTAGGATTATACATTTATTTACCTTGTGACTTGAGTGAAAGTTTACAAAGTTTACAAAGCAAAATTTTTTTTCTATTCAACGATTCAGACATCTTTCTTCTTGTGATATAGTCAAGCACTGCTTCCTGTACATGATTTCTGTGAAGTAGGATGTTAAGTGATTTGGACACTGTGCTAATACCTTGTCATATACAGTGAGACCACACAGTACCAGAGAACTTGGTTCCTAAGTCTGTCTTTCAGTGGAATTCATACGAAAGTGAAAACAGTTATAGTTAATATCTAATACCAGTTAGTCATTTGTCTTTGTATATAGTATATACTTTCTATGTATGCATAAAAGTTTTTAAGGTAATACTTCCTGATATACTAAAAAGTTGTTAATAAAATAGTAACAATAATAAAAAAAATAATGATTTGCTGTATGTTCCAAAGCTGTGATTGCTATGAACACCATCAACACTCATTCCCATGATGATTTTATCTAGTTCCTCTAGAATGTAAGGGAGCAAGGTTTCATATGTTGTTCATCAGGATGTCTTCATCGTGCCTGGAACATTGAAGACACTAAAAAAAATGATGTTGTGTACATAAATAAATGGGTGGAATGTATTTTTTATTATTTTTAAAAATACTTCATAGTAAAAAAATAAAGGGGTTTTTTTTTGGCTGAGTACAGTGTACTTTATTGATGGTACATGACAAGATGGGCTCGCCAAGCCCCTCCCCTTTCTCAGGGGGATTTGATGGAAACTTGTGTCAAGGATGTGAGATTCTCAGTGTGTGTGAGGATCAAGTTGGGGCAAGGACTCCCCAGCAGCTGAGGGTCTCTCTCTTCTAGTGCTATTGCTGGGGCTGGTGGTCCAAGGGGATCTTATTCTTTGGAGGCCATGTGAACCATCAGGTCGACCACCTGGCTGCTGTAGCCAAATTCATTGTCATACCAGGAAATGAGTTTGACAAAGTGGTCGTTCAGGGCAATGCCAGCCCCAGCATCAATGGTGGAAGAGTGGATGTCACTATTAAAGTCACAGGAGACAACCTGGTCTTCAGTGTATCCCAGGATGCCCTTGAGGGGCCCTTCTGATGCCTGCTTTACTACTTTCTTGATGTCATCATATTTGGCAGCTTTCTCCAGATGGCAGGTCAGGTCCACAACTGACGCATTGGGGGTGGGGACATGGCAAACCATGCCGGTAAGTTTCCCATTCAGTTCAGGGATGACCTTGCCCACAGCCTTGGCAGTGCCAGTAGATGCAGGGATGATGTTCTGGGCAGTTCCACGGCCATCACGCCACAGCTTTCCAGAGGGGCCATCCACAGTCTTCTGGGTGGCAGTGGTGGCATGGACTGTAGTCATGAGTCCCTCTACAATGCCAAAGTTGTCATGGATGACCTTGGCCAGGGGAGCCAAGCAGTTGGTGGTGCAGGAGGCATTACTGACAATCTTGAGAGAGTTGTCATACTTTTCTTGGTTCACACCCATCACAAACATGGGGGCATCTGCAGAAGGAGCAGAGATGATTACCCATTTGGCACCACCCTTCAAGGTTGTGAAGACACCAGTGGACTCCACAACATACTCAGCACCAGCATCACCCCACTTAATGTTGGCAGGATCTCGCTCCTGGAAGATAGTGATAACTTTCCCATTGATGACTCAGTCTTGACAGTGCTGTTGAACTTGCCATGGGTGGAATCATATTGGAACATATAGACCATGTAGTTGAGGTCAATGAAGGGATCATTGATGGCAACAACATCCACTTTGCCAGAGTGAAAAGCAGCCCTGGTGATAAGGCGCCCAATGTGGCCAAATCCGTTTACTCCAACCTTCACCATCGTGTCTCAAGGATGCGGCTCAGGCTGCATAAGAAGAGAGGGCAATCTGGATCGACAAGGAGCAGAGAGCCAAGGATTTTTTATAGAATTTACAAGAACCCAGTGGAGCTACAGCATAGGTACATAAAAAGAAGTCATAGAAATTGAGGCTTAAAGTATTTGAAGAGGAAGGAAGGGGATAGAGTGTAGGGTGTGGAATATGCTATTGATAATATTAGTAGCTTAAAAATAAAATGCTATCTTACTATGCAATAATATATGAGTAAGGTCCAAAAAAATCAATAATGGAAACTGCAAACAATGGTTGCTACTAGAGGATAAGTTCTCATTTCATTTGATCTTGTTCTGTGTCATTTGAAAGGAATCCTTGTGGCATTGGCATAACATATAGGAGTGCTAACTTGAAAGGTTGGTGGTTCAAATCCACTGATTTCTCTGCTGGAGGAAGATTGATAGTTTGCTTCCATAAAGATTTACAGCCTTGAAAACTTGTTGAGGGGTTGCTATCATATGATAATATTGAGTGTTGTTTGAAATAAAATTAATGTGTATATGCTGATTATTGTTGTTGTTGTGTATCATCAAGTAGGAACTGACCCATAGCTGACTCTCTGGTGGGTTTTCCAAAGCAGTTAACTGCATAAGAGGAGATTGTCTATCTTCTCCTGTGGAGGATCTGGTGGATTCAAATGGTGTGCTTTCAGGATTGCAATGCAGATATCTTATCATTAGTCCAAAAATACCTGGTGGGTCAAGCAATTCAAGTTCCACAAGGCAGTGAAATTACAAAAATTTCTGGCAGGAAGAAGACCATATGATGTAGGATGGACGGAAAAATAAATTATTATCAGGGTAAAAGTTAAAAAACATCTTCCTCTCCATCATCCCTCCATCTTTCCGAGCAAGATGTCCCTCTTCAAGGAATAGCCTCTAGTAGAAGCATGCCCAAACTATGTGAGATGAAGATGGATCATTTTTGCCTCCAATAAGGATCTGGCTGCACTTTCTCCAAGACATATTTGTTCTTTTGGTAGTGCAAGGGCTAGTCAGTACTCTTTTCAAACACCATAGTTCAAAGGCGTCATTCCCCGCCCCCCCATCCTTGTTCATTGTCCAGTTCTCAATAACATAACAAGTGGCGGAAAATATCATGATCGAATCAGGCACACTGTAGTCCTCAAACTGACATCATTGTACCTCAATAATTTGGAGATGCCTCTGCCTAAAAGAAGAAAATAGGATATAGGTGCAGAGGGCCATGAGGACCTCACTAGAAGGGCCAGGAGAGTGCGAATAGCACAATCCTTCACTGCACCAGAGCAGAAAGCAAATCAAGAGCCTGTAGCTCAGACACATGGTGCCTATAGAGCCCCACCAACAGTAAGAAGTTCGTTTATTCATTATTGACTCACAGTTGTTGTGCTGAGAATGGAGTTTATTAGGGAAGTGAGTGGGGGAGGCAAAGAATATCACCCAGTGCAAATCCAGGTTTTAGCCCAAAGGCACATTTCCTTAATTAAAAGTGCAACCAGGCTCTGGTTTCAGTTCAGCAAAACAAATTCAAGAAGCCTCTGGTTTCCTCAATCACCCAGCAAGGTTTGCCTCAGAGCAGTTATAAGGAAAAATCAGACAGCTTGTCCTTAATTATTCCCACAAGCACAGCAAAGCCTTAAACTGTAGCTTTTGTCTCAGGGCTTCTGTGGTTACATTTTGCCAGAGTTTCTCCACAGCAATACCACAGTCTCTCCACCACCATCACCAGGATCTCACCACCAAGGTCTTGCCACCAGGGTCTTGCTCTCAATAGGGTCTTGCCCCTGTCTTCCTCAAGTCTTACTGTCCAGGATGAAAAGCACTCTCTCTCTTATTCTAGTCCCACAGCTATTGATGATTTACAAGACCACGAGCCTGCAGTTAAGGTAGCTGGAGGAATGGCTTAAAAAAGTTAACTTTAGGCTAACACTACAGCCAGTAACTGCAGACTTTCTCAGTACCATATGTCTCATGATCCCCTAACTGCTGGTACCAAATGTATTGATTGTGGATCCAAATAAGATTAAATAATTGACAGTTGCAATCTTTTCTCTATCTATTGTGATGTCACTCACCAGTCTAGTGATGAAAATTTTTGTTTTCTTGATGTTTGCATGCAATCTATATTGAAGGCTGTAGTGTTTAACCTTCTGCAGCAAGTGCTTCAAGTTCTCCTCACTTTCAATAAGCAAGGTGTGTCATCTCCATAATGAAAGTTATTGATGAGTTTTCCTTTGATCCTGATGCACATTCTTCTTTATGGAATCCAGTTTTTCAAATAATTTGTTCAACGTACAGATTAAAAATGTATGGAGAAAGGATACAACCCTGATGCATATCTTCCTTAATTTTAAACTATGTAGTGTTCCCTTGTTCTGTTCATAAAGTGACCTCTTGGTCTAGTTATAGGTTTCATATAAACACAACTAAGTGTTCTGGGATTCACATTCATCTCAATGTCAGACATAATTTGTTACGATCCACATAGCCTTTGCATAGTCAATAAAGCAAGCACAAAAAGACATTCTTCTGGTATACTTTCTTTTCAGCGAGGATCCATCTGACCTAAGCAGTGCAAGTCACAACAACAATACGGTATCTCATTCCAGAAACATTAGTAAACTCCAATAAGACAGAAAATAACAAATGACGGTCAAATGTTGAGAGATTATAGCTCTCATACACTGCCAGTGAGACCATAAAATGGTACAACAACTGTAGAAAAGAGTAATGATACTTTCTTAAAAGCTGGAAATAAAAATTCAGTTTGATCCTGCAAGTCTATGAATAGGTATATTTCCAAAGCAATAAGAGCTGAGGCATGAACAGATATATGC